ACATTTTTAATGTCCCTTCTCAAAAACGTATACTTCGCAGCACATTTGGAAGTAATTTAGAAGTCACTGTACTGCTAACCCTAACCCATAGTCTAACCCATAATCCTTTCCACCTGATGTACTTTAAGTCTTGTAACTGGCCTCTATTTGCACTTTGGTCCCTGTCCATTTCTTTTTACACTGGAATCAGTATGATCCTTTAAAAATGTAAATCAGGATGCGCATTGGTTTAGAATAAAATCTAGCTCACTGTGGTCTTGCTAGGTGGTGTAGGCCCACGTCTCCAGTCTCATTTCCTGTCACTCTTCCTGCTCACTAAGCTATAGCTGCATTAGCTTTCCTCCAGTATTTCAAGTATTTCTAACTTTCTGGTCTTAGCACATTTTTGTTCTCTTTGCTCGGAAGGTATCTTGGCATGCACTCCCTTCCCTGCAACACCTGTGTACCCCCCCCCACACAAATGCACACTGCCACATGTATATTCTTTATTTGCTATTTCTTTTTAGGTATTTTACATATAAATGCACAGATCTTAAGTGTCTAATTTAATGAATTTTTACATATGTATATACCCAAATAACCACCACCCACATCAAGGTACAGAATTATTTCTGGCACTTCAGAAGGCCCCCTTCAGTCTCTCTCATCAAATTACTATTATTACTTCTTATGTCATAAATTAATTTGTTTTTGAACTTGATACAAATGGAATCTACAACAGCATGTTCTCTTTAGGGTCTCTCTTTTTTGACTCATTATAGGGTGTCTTGCGTTCCTTATCTGTCTTCTCATCTTGGACTCAGCTGAGTATCCCCTCCTTAGAGAAGCTTTCTGTGACCACTCTGACACTATGCACACTCTCTGCCCCGAGTCCTCTTGCAAAACACCCTGCTTATTTCTTTCACGGTATTTAACACAACTTGTGATTATTCCTTGTTTTCGTGCTTCCTGTCTATCTCACAATGGGCTATGGACTCCATTAACATAGGGAACATTCTGCTCTGGTTCATCGTTGTCTTCACTTGGGCCTAGTAAAAATTCGCCTGGCCCAATTGTAGGTGCTCAGTCATAAATACCTGTTGGCTTACTGAATGAATGAATGAATGAAGAATGAAATCTGCTTTATTTTCTGACTTGTACTGAAGTAAAAAAAAAAAAAAAAAGTTCTGAAACTTCCTAATTTTTGGCAAAATGTTATCTAAAATAATTCTGATCTTACTAAGATTTTATGAAAATTTTCTCTTGTGGGAAAGATAGACTAATTGTCACAGGTGGCAGGACAGAATTCTATACCCAATTAAAAATTATTAAATGTACTTGAGGGAAATGTTTAGAAGTTCTGTCTCGATCAGCATTTTTACAGAGACTTAGGTGAAGGCATTATCAGCGTGACCTATATACATGCTGAGATTTTGAAGAGACGTAGCTCTTACCTTGCATAAGTGAGTGAATCTGAAGAGCTCTGGAGGATAGAAAAATGAGTTGAATCTAGTAAGATGAAATGTTATAATGGTAAATGTACAGTCTTGTCCTTAGGTTCCAACAGTCATCCTCACGTTAGCATGGAGAAAGGTGGCTTAGTAGTCCACCTGAGCATTCGTATTTAAGTCTGCAGAATGATTTTGTTGCCGTAGGAAATTAGTATGTTGAGTATCAGAGGAATATTGAGGAAGAGGGCCTTATGGGCATGTTCTCTCTACTCATGCACCACGTGAAATGTTTCTTATGCCCTGGATCATGTTTGTATTGGTTTAATAACAAATTGGGATTTCCTGGAGCACCGGTTGTCAAACTAAAGCCCTCAGGCACCTGTTTTTGTGAATAAAGTTTTACTGGAACACAACTGTGCCCACTTGTTTACTCTTTTCTTTTTCTTTTTTTAAAAAAGATTTTTATTTATTTATTTGATAGAGACACAGCGAGAGAGGGAACACAAGCAAGGGGGAGTGGGAGAAGGAGAAGCAGGGTTCCCACTGAGCAGGGAGCCTCATGCGGGGCTCGATCCTAAGACCCTGGGATCATGGCCTGAGCCGAAGGCAGACGCTTAACAACTGAACCACGCAGGCGCCCCTGTTTACCTATTTTGTGTGACTGCTTTCTTGCTTCAGTGGTAGTGTTGAGTGTTTATTACAGAGACCATATGGCCTGCAGAGCCTTAAATATTTACTATCCGATGCTTTCCATAAAAAGCTTTCCAGCTTGTGGTCTAAAGTACAAGACCTAGATGAGAAGAAGATTGAAAGCATGGCAAGAGGAACAGCAAGAGGAATGTGAGATGTGTAAGCAGGTGAAGAGAAGATACAGGTGTGACGGGGGAGCGGCCTCAAATAGTTGAAGCAGGGTTATTGGGAAGAAAAATTGGACCCTTGTCTGCTTAACTTTGTAAAGCAGTATGAAAACAGGATAGAAAATATGGAACAAGGAGAGGGTTTTGTTAGTGTATAGAAAGTTGGTTTAACGTGGGTTGGGTTTGCTTCTGGAAATAATGAGTTTTTTGGCACCAGAGGCATTTGAAAAGAGGCCACATGTCTGCCTTACCTCTTTGCGTTGATGAGGGTCAGGTGTCTTCCGAACCCTTGTGATTCTGAGATTTTGCCTTGGAATGATTCTCAAACCCAGGCTATGGTTTTCAAGCATTTCTCCAGGGCACTAGCTTCATCTGGCCTTGCAGATTGGAGATCAGGCAAGCCACAGTGGGCCTTAACAGTGGATTATCTACCTGGTTCAGGTGTTCAGATATATACCATTCCACCAGAAAATAAAAAATATATATAATAAGCTTTAACAAATACCTGAATCTAGTTTAACATCTCTAAAAGTTTATTATTTATTTATTTTTTCATGCATGTGGAAAGTTTGAATGATTCTTTTTTCCTGTTGATTCACAAGACAGTTTTAAGTTTCTTTGTTTATACTAAGTGATATGTGATATCGAAACATACTCGGGTGTATAAGGCTAGAGCACAGAGTGTTCTTTAGGTTTATTGTTTGCTACCTTTTGTGATCTCCTTTTACATTTTCTTGCTGTACTTGAGCTAAAGGTGAAACATTTACTTGGGCAAACTGACCTTGTATTTAGCTCTGCATTCTTTTCATACTTCTGGTCTCCTGAAGTAGAAATTTCGAGGTAGAACTTCAGAATTTAAAAAGAGGAGCTTTTCAAATGAAAATTCCACCAGTTAAGGGCCTTCTTTTAGATCTGAATTCAAATTATGGAAAGCTGCTGAATGAGGCTCATTCAGCAAACATTTGAATTAAGAACATTATACTTTGTACATTGTATTCGGTGTTCATGGGATGTCTTAAACAGTTTCCTTCTGACTTGGACTTCTTACAGTGTACTTCGCAGTAGACGGTGGGCTTGAAATGTGTGGTTTCCCCATTTATCTGACCTGCTGGCTAGTCAAGTCGGTCTGGATGCTGGCTCCTGTAAGTGGAAATCAGGACCCTCCCCCTTGTCATTGGCAGCCTCTATTGGTTCCCTGTCCTTAGGTCCGAAGACTTAAATCCACGTAGTCCTGTCAGCTGAGGACCCCTTCGTTCTGCAGAGGTTCAGATGCAGTGACATTTGCTATGTGGAAAAGCTTTGTAACCTGTGGGAAACTGTGCAAGTGCAGGGTGATTTTAGGAAGAACATAACTCGCATTTAAGTAGAGTCTCTTGGCTGCGCAGCCTGTCCCTGCGGCCAGCAGAGGCGCGCCGGGATCTTCACCGTTTTCCTCTCGCGGTCTAGCTCAGATCCGTTGTCCCAGTTATCCCATTTCAGGCACAATGGGTTGGAGAAAGGGAGGCACTCAGACATGGAGTCTGCTGAATCATTTGACTTGCTAGTTAACTGTCTTTGCCAGCACCAGATTAAATAGACATAGTTTCTAGGTATATATGTATGATCTTTTACTTTTTTGTTCGATCACACTTTGGAGTCTTAAAACATTGATGAGAAAAGATTTCGTGCATATTTGGAAGCATTCAGGAAGAAGTTTTGACCTTTAATTATGATTTTTTAAAAATTAGATGATTCAAATGCTTACTACCTCTTTCATGGACATACTAAGCGTTACTATAAAACACAAAACTTTTTTCAGACATTGGACTATTGTGATGTTTAAATGTCAGCTGGATGAGTTAGGTGGTATTCCCACTCTCTGAGGTGGGAATTATCCCTTACCAATGATCTCTTCTTCCCCACACCTAGTGGAGTGCTTATGACATGCCGGGTACGCCAGTGTGTGTGTATCTGATGAATAAGTCATTGATGTGACTCTTAAAATTATATGTATGTATGTATGTATGTATAAATACAGATATTTATTAAAATTTCCTTTGAATTTTTATTAAATAGCTCAATAATTAGGGAATAAACTGGATCACCACAGAACCCTAACCTGTTCTTACCTTCCTTTGGTTATTTATGCAAGCTGTTTTTCTGCTGTAAAGGGATCTGTCATCCTTTGGTGGTTAAAAAACATTTAAGAATATCTAGTACTTACATAGCACTTACTGTGGGCAAGGTACTACTTTAAGTGTTTCACGCATATGATTAATTTACTTAATTCTTATGGCAGTCCTTTGAGGAAGAAGCTGTGCTCCTTGTTTACAGGTGAACAAACTAAGGCAGAGATTAAGTAACTTTCCCAAAGTTGCACGTCTAGTAAGTGTTTTAGTGGTGGTATGAGGAGGTGGAGAAAGTCTGTGTTGCAATGTATACAGTGTGCACATTTTGATCTTGCATTGTAAGTGAGGTCTTGTAAGCAATATAAATTTCTCTACTGAAACATTGTAACATATAAAAGTTGAATGAATGAAAAAAGAAATCTGGCTGTACTTGACCATCTTTGTCCCATTTATATTGTTCCTCCAGTTTTGTTATTTAGATGAGGACATCATGTAAATAGACATAGTTTCTAGGTTATTTTTGTAATATTATTTTCACTCCAGAAATACTGTTCTGTTTGCTAATGTGCAAGGATAACTGAATATTTTCTTTCATTTCTTAACAGTACAGTGCTGTGGATACCAATCCACTCTCTCTGTACGTCATGCATCCATTTTGGAACACTATAGTCAAGGTAAGATGATTAATAGACTTGTACTTATATTTTAGTAAGTTTTAAATATTTTATGGAGTGTTATGGATGCAACCGTTTGTTTAATAAGAAAGATATCTAGAGAAGCTAGCTCTCCCATCCTTCTTTTCCCTTAGTCACATACCTTTTGATTTATCTCCCTGTTGGCGTATAAGCTAGAATTTATCATTTTTATAAAATGAATTTAAAATTTTCCTAAGTAAATGTAATGTTATTATTATAAAAGTTTGTTGATTATAGAGTTATTTAAAATACAGAAAATAGAAGAAAGATGCTTATTTTTAATCAGTGGATGTTATGGTTTATATTTTAATATATATATAATATATATAACATATATATGTATGATCTTTCAAGTTTATAGCCTTTATTATGAATTAAATTTGCATCTTGTGTCGTGGCCAGAGAGATTCCTTTACTTTAACTATTTTGTAATTACTTTGAAAAAAAAAAATAGGTATTTCCTACTTGGCTGGCTCCAAATTTGATAACCTTCTCTGGCTTTCTGCTGGTTGTATTCAATTTCCTACTTATGGCATACTTTGATCCTGACTTTTATGCTTCAGGTAAGATTACTACTTTACTATAAAATTTAAAATGTCTAAATGGAGAAAAATGAGATGTGGTTATTTTCTGGTTCTATTCATATGCTTGTATTTTGGGAAAGTTTTACATAAGAGTATGTAAAATGTTAGGAATTGGGTGTAAAAGCTAAGTAAGTTGTATTTTCACAGTCTGTTATGGTTGTTTCCATTAAGTTCTGGAAACCAGTTTGGCTCCTTAATTTAGATATGCTGTCTAAAAAGCAATGAGGTTTTGATAAATAAAGAATAATTGGATTTATAAGAAGACAAAAATTAGGATTATGACACTTTGCCTGAAAGTGAATATGAGCAGGGTCCAGCATACTTAACAGTTCCAGAAATATCCCTTCCCTTGTTCTAATTATGCAAGAAAAATCCCCCTTTTGAAGATTATCTCTCTTTCCCTCTGCTCAGCATCCGTATTTGCCTTTAATACTTTTGAGTTTCCTCTGAAAATGGTTCTTAAACGTTGTTGAAGTCTTCTTTCACATCTGTTCCTGTCTTCCTGTTCTCCCTCACCCTGTTTCTGCCCTAGACCACAGGACAGAATCTGGCTGTATTTGGGATAAGGGGGGATAAGTGGGAGATAGAGCTGATTCTCATTGCTCAGCCAGTTGATGGAGTTGAGAGGAAGTGAAAGATGGAGGTAGATGAACATATCTTGCATTCTAAGTTGGAGTATATATTTTCCAATAAGAATACTTATAAATGATGTGGTAAGGAGTTTTAGTGTTATAATTCATTTGTGTCGTGTGTTTAGCAGACTTTTGTGGACTGACCTGGAGAAACTAACAGTCACTGAAAACATTGTTTTTGTAGGAAAGTTCGGATTTTCAAAAACTTATGACTTGATATTATAGAAATTCTAAATATTGGAATTATATATTTGCTTAACTATCAATGCAAATTTTAAGCTATGTCTTCTATACATGTAATAAAATGGCAACTTTTTGAAGTTCATAAAGTATGACATAATTAATAAGATTAAATTTTTATTAAGCATGGTTTGGATATTAAACAGTTTCTAAAAATTTGTATTTTAATCTTCAGAACATCCTCAAAAGTTTATTTTGTAACTGGAAATATTTTTTTCCCACTATTCTAACATTATTTGCTTAGTTACTAAGAGAGCTAAAAATATGTGAATATTATGTATATTTCCCCAAGTCATAGAACCTAGAGGACCAGATAAACCATCTAGTCCTGGTATATTTGGTAAGTAGACAGGAAGAGTTAAATGGTATATTCATAGTCACACTGCCGGTTGAGTACAGAGCTGGGACTGGAGCCCAGACCTCCTGATTCTCAGTTGTTCTGTCTTAGAGGGCAATCGTGAGGTTCAGACATTTCAGAATGATTCTGATGCCAAATCATCCAGTGAAGGTGACCCATCTATACCCAAATGAAAAGGTCTTTTGTTTAGCTAATTAATAATGTAATGAAAAAAATACAGATTGAAGGCTCAATATGTTTGTAGGATAATTGCAAACAACAAGGATCAGATTAAACACAGGCATCTTTTAAGTTCCAAAAATATTAATTTTTATTCTCAGCACATAAGTAATTTTCAAGTAAAGATGGACAATCAGTTTTGAGTTAAGATTAAAGTTCAGTCCTCTTGTTAATAAGGGTTGGGGAGATACTCCTTTGGTTTTGTCAGTTTAGTGATATATTTTAATGTCCACCTAATTCTTTATTAAAAATATATTACAAGGTACTTTAACTTCTATTTAAGAAGTAGAAATATTTCTCATTGGCAGCACATGGTATGGTAGAACATGTGTACTTTGTGTTAAAAGCCGTGTTGCTTTCCTTTGCAGCACCAGGTTACAAGCACGTGCCCGACTGGGTGTGGATTGTAGTGGGTGTCCTCAACTTCATAGCCTACACTCTCGGTAAGGGATTGGCAAACGCTCATATACTCAATGGCTGGTGAATCTGTCAGCAGGGAGAGCCGTCAGCAACTAAGTTAACATTTTCTCCTATGCTTAATTCATTTTAACTCGGGTTTATTAATTTCCTGTTCAATATAAACATATTTTTGAGTTTCTCTGTGGAAAATATTGTCACTCATTGCTAGGGAATGCAAAGAATAAGGTAGGAGTTGGCACACTGCCCCTTACAGCGCAGCTCTGGCCTGTTGCCTGATTTTATAAGTAAAGTTTTGCTGGAACACAGCTCTGTGTATTCCTTTACATGTTGTCTGTGCCTGCTTTCTGCAACAAAGACAAAGTTGAGTTGTTGCAACAGAGGCTTCTGATGACCTACAGTGCCTCAGCTATTTACTGTCTGGCTCTTCACATAAAATATTTACCCACAGCTGGAATAAGACATCATTTTTGCCTTACGTTTGGGAAGCAGTACTGACATAGCAAATAACTGTGGAATACTGAGAGCTGCCCTAATAGAGCAAAGTGGGAAAACAAAAATAAGTGGGAGAATAAGAAAGTGATCAATTCTTACTTGGTGGAGGGGTGGTCAGGGTAGTCTGCTTAGGCCGTACTATCTTTTTGGCCAAGAATGCTTTTTATTGGGATTATCTGCATGGCTTGTCATGCCTGCTCCTATTCTCCTTCCCTATTTTGTTTTTCTCCGTGGTACTTAACGCCGCGTGACCTGCTTGTCTGTCTGCCCTAAAATGTGCGTAGCTTTGAGGGCTACCCAGTGTTTAGAATAGTGCCTAACATGTAGTAGGCACCCAGTATATAGTTTTTAAATGAATATAAAATACCAGACCCTGACTTCAAGTTGCTGAGATCTCTTCAGGTAAAAATGACTTGCACTCATAAAGCCAGTATAGTTTGGTACATGATTAAATGCTGACATTGCAGGTGACCAGAGCTGCAAGAGTTTGGGGAAGGAGAGAGTGAAGTACAGAACAATTAGGGGAAAGCTTAGTGAAAAACAACATTTTTAGGTGGAAGCTTTTGTACATTTGTTCTTAAAGATGAGCGGGTTTAAGAATTCTATAGGGTTTGGTTGCCAAGGATAGAGAGAAATAGGGAAAAAGGCGAGACTGGCCTATGGCTCTGGCTTTTAACAGCATATCTTAAGAACTTTTTGTAGACGGGGTGCCTGGGTGGCTCAGTGGGTTAAAGCATCTGCCTTTGGCTCAGGTCATGATCCCAGGGTCCTGGGATTGAGCCCACATCGGGCTTTCTGTTCAGCAGGGAGCCTGCTTACCTGCCCCGCCGGCCCCCCCCACCCACCCCCCCCGTCTGCCTGTCTGCCTACTTGTGATCTCTGTCTGTCAAATGAATAAATAAAATCTTAAAAAAAAAAAAAAAGAGCCTTTTGTAGATAATACTCTACCACCTACCTGTTTCATGTCCACGATTTTGGCAAAAATCCTGACCAAACATGAACTATTTATTGCAAAACTGCCTTGAACTAATGTGAGGCAATGTATACACTTTATTCTACTAGTATGACTATCCTTACCTTTTGTTGCAGAAATATTAATGTCTTTGATTACAAGGTGCTGTTCTAGGTCCTCCTGAGTTGTTCCTCTCATAATATATGGTATATGCCCTGAATACTTTCAAAAAGAAAATTTTTTTTTTCTGAAACATATCCAGACTTGTGGAGCTGTATTGGGTTCAGTGAGAAGATGTACAAAACCTAATTAGTATGCAGTCCATGAATTTCAGTGTTTGTAATAACTGCCCAGGAGTTGCACCACAAACAGGAATTTAAGCCAGCAAATAATGAGAAAAGACTTTGTGGAAATATTTAAGCTACTTAAGGGCAAAAAAGTTCCCAACACTGTATAACAGAGATCTGCAGTGTTTGGGCAGGTATCTGGGATTCGTCCTTTCCCTTATTCCTTCAGCAGTATTTTTCAAGGCTTTCTTTGCCACCAGCTGAGGTAGGCCCTGGGGATAGTACCGTAGCGAGTAAGATAAACACATTAATCATAGGAATTTTTAATTCCTTAAATCTGAATCTTTACAATTAGCCCAATACTTAACAAAACTATTTCTTTTGAGGAAAACTTTTTATGGTTCACCTGCTGCTGCTGCTGCTGCTGCTTAATAATGTCTCCCCTACTAGACTGACAGTTCCTGGAGATCACAGGAATGGAATCTTCTTCAGCGGGGTGCTTGGATCTGCACAAGCGTGCAGAGCTATGCGTCAGACTCTTCTTTTTAACTAGGCTTTCTCCTTCTCCCTCCTTCTCTCCCTACACGCCCCAGCCCCCCAGCTCCTCTGTTTCTGCCCCTAAATGAAGGTGTTCCGCTGTGCTCTATCCTTCATTTTCTCTTTCTGCTCATTCGCTTGGCAGTCCTGATCCTTCCCACTGTGGAGATGACTCCTGTGTATCTAGCTAGCCCTCGTCTGTCTTCTGAGTTGCTAGGGAGTGCCTTAGGTGGAGTTGCTTGATATTACTGTGCACATAATTCTGCCAGCACTTCAGTTTTAGCATCTCAAATTGTACTCAGCCTCTTTAACACCAGTCATGCTCCTTCTTCGGACTTCTTTATTTCCTACCCCTCTTGGTTAGCCAGATGGGAAATTTTGGAGAGGATCTTTCAGTCCTTCAGCCTCCCTGATCACCTTTTACTGCATTGCCGTTTTTATTTTCTTAATATCTCACCTGCCTCCAGCCTTTCATTCCCACTGGATCCCATGTCCGTGTGGGCCTGCGGATTAGTGTGCTCGCTCCAGCCAGTCATTCCCGCCCGATGACCGCGGCGGCTTTACAAAGCTTATCACGGCTTTTACCCTTTAACTTCCCTGCTCACATCCTTTTAGTAGCTCCTTGTCCTCCCTGAAACTATAGAACTTGCTCCAGCCTCCCTACTGCCCTTTGCACAGACTGGTTTCTTTGGTCATCCTGAGCTACTCGGCATTTTCTGAATACTCATGTGCTTTTCCATCTGGTGTTTTTGCTGCCAGCACTCGCTCCTCCTGAAACAGCATACTCTTATCTACTGAAATCCAACTCATTCTCTGTGTCTCCACTCAGGTTTCATCTGGTCTGGAAGGCCGTTCTTGATGTTCTTAGCCTGAAGGGTACTTGTCCCTTTTCTGTCCTCTCCTGTGGTTTGGGATGTACTGTATCTTTAATTACCACATTTTGTTTCCTTTCTCAGTTGTAGACTGAGGACACAGACTTAGTTTATTCTGAGATTATTCTCGTAATCTTCACAGCGTCAAGAATAGTGCATTGAATGGTTTTAATCCATTCTTATATTTCCTGAATGCCTTCTACGTGCAAAGCCTTTTCTGAAAGCACTTAAAATTGTGCAAGTAGGGGGTGCCTGGGTGGCTCAGTGGGTTGGGCCTCTGCCTTCGCCTCGGGTCCTGATCTCAGGGCCTGGGATGGAGCCCCGTATCAGGCTCTCTGCTCAGCAGGGAGCCTGCTTCCCTCTCTCTCTCTGCCTGCCTCTCTGCCTACTTGTGATCTCTCTCTCTGTCAAATAAATAAAAAATAAAAAAATAAATTGTGAAAGTGTACATTTGTGACAAAATGACTGTAATTTCAAACAAGATGAAATAGGCGTTAGGACTGAAGCATAGGGTGTTTTTGGATCCTAGAGCAAGGAGTGGTTAGATAAGTTGTAATGAGTAACTATGGAATATTCTCTGAAGGGTTGAAAATTTGTGACTAGTGGAACAACTCAGTTATTAGGCTCATTTGGAAGAATTCAGAGTCCCAACTACGATGCTTTGTCCTCAGATCTAAAATTGACACCATTTAGTGTGATGTAATGTATTTTAATTTCAGTTATTTATTTATTTATTTTTAAAAGATTTTATTTATTTATTTGACAGAGATCATAAGTAGGCAGAGAGGCAGGCAGAGAGAGCGAGAGAGGAGGAAGCAGGCTCCCTGCTGAGCAGAGAGACCCATGTGGGGCTCAGTCCCAGGACTCTGGGGATCATGACCTGAGCTGAAGGCAGAGCCTTTAACCCACTGAGCCACCCAGGCGCCCCTCAGTTATTTATTTTTTAGGATTTTATTTATTCATTTGACAGGGAGAGAAAGAACCAGATTCCGCACTGAGCAGGGAGCCCAATGCAGGACTTGATCCCAAGACCCCCGGATCATGACCTGAGCTGAAGGCAGATGTTTAACCTACTTAGCTACCCAGGCGCCCTGAATTTAGATTTTAGATTATATGCTGAGAAATTACAGATTTTATTTCTGAAATCTTTGAATTGTAGGAATTGAAGGTTGGATTTTTATAAAAAGTATCGGCTGGTAGCTATTCTTTAGTTAATTAACATTCCTGTAATAGTGCTGATCTGTTTTGTTTTGTGTTTCTCCAGTTTATTAAAGACGACTTTCTGCATACTGGTACAGATGTTGACCTTTTCCCATTTCAATGTGTTTCTGTTGCAGATGGTGTGGATGGAAAGCAAGCCCGGAGAACGAATTCCAGCACCCCTTTAGGGGAGCTTTTTGACCATGGCCTGGATAGTTGGTCATGTGTTTACTTTGTTGTGACTGTATATTCCATCTTTGGACGAGGACCGTCTGGTGTCAGTGTTTTTGTTCTCTATCTCCTGCTATGGGTAGTTTTGTTTTCTTTCATCCTGTCCCACTGGGAAAAATATAACACAGGGATTCTTTTCCTGCCATGGGGATATGACATTAGCCAAGTGGTAAGTGCGTGTCCTGCCTTAAATTTTCAACATTGCCATGAATTTTGGGGACAAGCTTTTGTCATTCCTTCTTTATAGCCCTTAGGCTTTTTTGGCTAGAACTGACTTGGTGCTTTTTAAAAATTTCCTTTTTATCTTGTGTTATTTCTTGCTTATTTATGAGCAGTTTTCAAGTAGAATAGCATAGTGAGCCCTTATGTACCTGTTACTTAGCTTCAGCAGCTGCATGGCCAGTCCAGTTTCGTGTATCCCCTTCCTCCCAGTTAGTTTAAAGGAAATTCCTGATAGGATGTGATAAGTATTTTACTACATCTATCTCTAATAGTAAGAGTACTGTTTAAGAAACCATAGTCACAATGTCATTATTATTAAAAAATGGTTAGCTTCTTAATGTTAATAAATATTCCTTTGAACTGTTGATTTTTGTAAAGAAAGATATGCACATGTAATTGTTGCTTTTTTGCCTTTACTGCCCATGTTTCAATGAGTAGAGATACTTGTTTTCTCTTACTTAATAGGCTTGCTGTTAACTCTCCCTGCCTTTGAATACCAGCTTTTTATGTTGCCATTTTGTCCATTTGCACCTAAGACCCCAGTAGAGCATCAGACTTCGGAGTGTGTGTGAAGAAAGTGATTGGGTAGGCAAATTGGATCATCCTGTGCCTTAACCAAATCCTGACGGGCCTTACAGTGTTCTAAATTATGGCCAATTGCTTACCTTGTTTAGAAGTTAGTTATTTTATGGCATTGTTCGCTGAGAAAAAGACATTTTTAAAGGCAAGAAGACTTGCCTCAGTATCGAATTTAAGTGTACTTCTTGCTTTTACTAAAGCTATTTACTAGACTCAGGCTGCATACTGCATTATTGGCTCCCTGATCTTTCCAGCTGTTAATGCCTCTGTATGCCTTTGTCTGCATTTTCCTTCCAGACTATATCTTTTGTCTACATAGTGACTGCGATTGTGGGAGTTGAGGCCTGGTATGAACCTTTCCTGTTTAATTTCTTATATAGAGACCTATTCACTGCAATGATTATTGGTAAGAAGCTCCATGTTGAAGCCTATTTTAACATGACTTTATTATTGAAGCCAGTGTTTGATTATCACAAGCCATACCACCTTTCCCCCTCTCCCACACCCTCCAGCAAGCAGAACGACCCTACAGTCCTGGTTTCAACCAAACCAGTAAGGAAAACGAGGTTTCTGTGTTTTGGTCTTTTTGTTTAGCACTATGTCTAGTCAGAAGGAAATAAATACCAAAATCACATAAACCTTGTAAACTATTTAAACTAGTCTAGACTGTTCCAGAGGATCCACACTTAGTATAGATCCACATTGGTATAGATTTCATGCCTATCTCAAAGTTGAAGATCACTAGTTTGTAGGAAGTAGAATAGATGAAAGGTAGCGATTAGTTCATAATACATCTGTTCCAAAAGTTGAGCCTTTGTTCCTCTCAGATACTCTCCTTCTTTTGCCACTGGCTCTTAGGTAGAAGTTTCTGATCATGGTAATGTTTCCCTTTTGATTTTAGCGAGAGAGGATATCTACGGGAGGCAGAGTGTTTCCTATGCAAAGAGGCAAGGAGGAAGTTATTTGGGGCTGTGATTTTGGGGCACTAGGAGTGGCTTTAGGACCTCTGTAGGAGTAAAATAGCAAACTCTTGGCTATTGCTCTGTTCCCTTGTCTAAAAAATAACCCGCTCTCTCACTACCAGTGAACCTTGGTAATAGAATGGGCATTGGGTAGGGTTTAGAAACAGCTGAGAAAGCGGTGCGTTAGGCCCTGGCTTTTAGGCAGTGATTTGGGCCTTTTTCTGTGGCCCTAAACTACAGATATTTTAGAACCCCGCTGTTCTTCCAAATCCAAATATTCATTCTTGGGTTTCTGTATGAACTGAATCCTCTGCCTTGAAAAGGCTAGCTACTTTTTACTCCCCGCCACATAGCGAATCGTTTTAAGTGACAGGTCCTGTGGCAATATTGCTGCATTTTATGTTTAAATGTCAGATTTAACAATAAGATGGAATCCTCTGGTATGTGAGATACATTTTTGAATGTTAAGTGGGTACTTTAAGAGGCATATAACTTTCTTTGTAGTTTATAAGTTTATCTGAATTCTTCTCTCTGAAAAAAAAAAGCAAAAGCCCACGTTTCTTTACAAATAAATAAAGCCACTTTCCCAGTACAAGGGTACCTCGTTCTGTTGCACTCACCTCATTGTGCATTGCAGTACTGTGTTTTTTACAAATCGAAGGTTTGTAGCAACCTTTTAGCTAGTCTGTTAGCGCCGTTTTTCCAACAGCATTTGCTCACTTCATGTCTCCCTCTGTCATATTTTGGTAATTCTCGCAATATTTCAGACTTTTACATTATTATATTTGGTATGGTGATCTGTGATCAGAGATCTTTGATGTTACTATTAGAATTGTTTTGGGGCCCCACAAACCACACCCATATAAGATGGCAACTTAATTAATAAATGTTGGGTATGTCTGACTGCTCTACCTACCCTGCTCTCCCTCTCTTTTCTCTCCCTGTCCTCAGGCCTCCCTATTTCCTGAGACACAATATTGAAATTAGGCCAGTTAGTGATCCTGCGGTGGCCTCTAAGCATTCAAGTGAAAGGAAGAGTCAAACATCTCTCACTTTAAATCACAAATTAGAAATGATTCAGCTTAGTGAGGAAAAAGCCAAGATAGGCCCAAAGCCAGCACCTCCCCATCCCGCCACCAACCAAATAGCTAAGTGTGTAAATGCAAAGGAAAAGTTCCTGAAGGAAATGAAAGGTGCTACTCACTGAATAAACGAGTGGTAAGAAAGCAGAACAGCCTTTTTGCTGATACAGAGCAAGTTTTAGTGGTCTGGGTAGAAGATCAATTAACATTCCCTTAAGCCAAAGCCTAATTCAAAGCAAGGCCCTAGCTCTCTTCAATTCTTTGAGGGCTGAGAGAGGTAAAGAAGCTGCAGAAGAAAAGTTTGAAGCTAGCAGTGGTTGGTTCATGAGGTTTAAGGAAAGAGGACTTACCTGTGTCATGAAAGCGCAAGGTGGAGCCTCAAGTGCTGACATAGAAGTTGCAGCAAATTATCCGGAAGGTGATTAAGGAAGGGGCTACGCAAGCAACAGATGTTCCATCTAGATGTGACCACTTTAATACTGGAAGGAAATTACATCTAGGACTTTCATAGCTAGAGCGGAGAAGTCAATGCCTGGCTTCAAAGCTTCAAAGGACAGGCTGACTCTCTTTTTTGGGGCTAATGCATCTGCTGACTTGAAGGTGAAGCCAGCGCTCATTGACTATTCCGAAAGTACTCGGGCCCTTAAGAATTTGTTAAATCTATTCTGCCTGTCTTCTCTACATGGAACAACAAAGCCTGGATGGTAGCACATCTGTTTACAACATGGTTTACTGAATATTTTAAGCGCATTCTTGAGATCTGCTTAGAAAAAGGATTCCTTTCAATATATTTCTTCTCATTGACAAGCACCCGGTCACCCAAAGCTCTGATGATGATACACAGTGAGATTAATGTCGTTTTCCTGCTTGTTAACACAGCATCCATCCTGCCAGAGATTGAAGAGTAATTTTGACTTTCACGTCTTAGGATTGAAGAAATAGATACTTTTCTATAAGGCTGTAGCTGCCATAGAAAGTGTTCCTCTGATGGATCTGGGCAAAGTAAATTGAAAACCTTTTGGAAAGGAGTCACCATTCTAGGTGTCACTATTCGTGGGGAGAAGTCAAAATAATCAACATTGACAGGAATTTGGAAGAAGTGATTTCTGACTTTTATGGATGACATTGAGGGGTTTAAAACGTCAGTGGAGGAAGTAAGTAGCTGTGGTGGAAATAACAGGAGAATTAGAAGTGGAGCCTGAAGATATGACTGAATTGCTACCATCTCATGATCAAACTTTGTAACAGATGAGGAGTTGTTTCTTACAGACCAAAAAAGAAAGTGGTTTTCTTGAAATAGAATCCATTGTTGAAGATGCCGTGGAGATTGTTGGGATGACAAAGGATTTCGAATATTACATCAGCTGAGTTGATTAAAGCAGTGGCAGGGTTTGAGAGGATTGGCTCCTATTTTGAAAGAAGTTCTGTGGATGAAATGCCATCAACCAGCATTGCAGACTCTAGAGAGATTGTGAAAGGAACAGTCAGTGTGGGAAGCTTCATTGTTTCCTATCGTAAGAGCTTGCCACAGCCATCTCCACCTCTAGCGGCCATCAACCTCAAGTCAGGACTCTCCACCAGCAAAAAGATTATGACTAGCTGAAAGTTCAGATGATGGTTAGAATTTTTTAGTAATAAGGTATTTTTTTTTAGCTCAGGCATGTACATTTTTTTTATACATAATGCTGTTTTACTCAATAGGCTACATTATAGTAGAAACATAACTTTTATGAACTGGGAAACCAAAAAATTGATGTGACTTGCTTTATTGTGACATTCACTTCATTGTGATGGTCTGGAATGCAACCCGCAATCTCACTGAGGTATGCCTGTACTTTTTATGGAAAGTACATTAGGTGCTATTTAGAAGAGAAATAGAAGATACAGTATGTCTCTTTGGCAACCTATATATAGCCCGGCTTCCTCTATGCCTGCTGTATTTAAGATAAAGCTATTTTAAGATATTTTAAACTAAAAATACTCTTGGTAGCAAATCTTTTGCAAGTTTCTGTCAGCCTATTTTCAACACCTCAGAGCTATAGTGATTCTGGGTTAATTAATCCAGCTCCGGCTCCCCTACCAGTACTTCCCAACTTGACACAGTGTCAGTTGCTAAAAATTTCTGAGGATGTCAGCTTGTCTTCCTTTCTTTCTGGGCTCTTCTAACTTGGGTAACTGTCACAGTTGGGCTTGGAAGTGGCAGAGTAATTCATCTTTTCAAATGAGATTTCTGTTTGGTGGATTCTAGTCTTTTCATCTGTTTTTAGCAAAATGTCTTAGGAGTCGTTTTGAGGGAATGTGTTTCTGTCTTTGATCCTTAAGCTCAGAGCTACATTGACCACCTTCCCACCCCAAGCCAAGTACAGTCAGCGGGAGTCTGGAGTGGTCAGGCTAGGGCTGATCTGTTGAGTGACGGTGAAATACCCAAATGATGTAGCCAGAAACTTGCCACAGATGTTAATTTGGATTGTGACAGAGGAAAAAAAAAATCAGGAATTTACATCTCTATAATTTGTAGAATCGGAGAATTTTAAAAATGCAAGGGACATTAGGAAGTCATTTAACCCATCTGTATTGTACAACTGTGGAATCTGAGGCTCAGAGAGATCATCTGATTTGCCCAAGAGTACATTACTAGATTTTGGAGTCATCTGTAGGAAGCTTGTAGTTAAAGCTATAAGAGAGGATTCCCTGGGGGAGAATAGAAGCACAGTTGAATGCCGAGTTAGGAATATGCCAGGAGGCAGAGTTGCCAATAAAGGACAGCACATGTAATGGTTGGATAACTAACAGCACTGGGAGAATGGATCACAAAGGCCAAGGCAGGAAAGAATTGCAGTTAGTGGAGCGTCAACAGAGTCCTCTTACTTAGAAGTCAGGAGTGAAGAAAGAATATTGAATTTGATCATTAGGAGAACTTGGTAAATTCCAGAGTACAGTTTTCTGCAGAGGGAAGGCAGAATGAATGAGTCCTGAGGAAGGCCACAGGAAGGTCTGGTGAGTCATAGGGGAGAGTAAGAGAAGAGATAGCGAGGGCAGCAGAAGCAATGGGAGGGCTTCTTGGGAAGACTGTCCTTAGTTTCGGGTTTGAGGGGAAAGAACCAGTGTATGCTTAGGGGTGGGTGGAGAAATTCAGAATGCTAGGGAGATAAAAATAAGTGGAAATGGGAAACCACAGAATCCATGAATCAGCCCCTCTTTCAGTAACTCACACTTGTGCAATTTACTGTACACCAGGTACTGTTCCAGGTGTCTTTATGTATAATAACTCATTTAATTCTCAAAACCGTACGGGGTCAGTACTATTATGTCTATTTTACAAAAGAAGAAATTGAGGCACTGAAACGTTAATCTGCCTGAAATCTCATAACTTATAGACACAACCGAGGTTCAAGTCCCATCTGGCCCCTGACCTCTGCTCTGAATCAGCGAGCTATACTGCTACTCTTCTGCTTGTAAATGTTCAGAAGTGTATTTAATTTCAATATGAAAGTCAACCTGAACCTGCGAATTATTGGGTCTAAAAGCATTAAATATTTTGTATGTATTTGAAAATTATAAAAAATCACTCTTGAATAATAATAACAATAATTTAAATATTCTTCCTTTTAGGCTGTGCATTATGTGTGACTCTTCCAATGAGTTTATTAAACTTTTTCAGGTAAGTATTTCTTAATTGGGCAAGAAATGTGAAAATCGTTACTTAGATGAATTTTAGGATCTGTTTTACTTTTGGGATCTGGGCATTTTGGAAAGGTTCTGAAACCTATTTTTTGAATCTGGAATGAGGTCAGGGTCATGTAGGGTCTACGGTGGCAGCTGTGTACTCAGTTCAAGCACAGCACAGAACTCCTGGTGCTTTTGTTACAGCTTTTGGCTCACCAGACAGTCTTCCATTTGTCATTTTTTTGTGGAGTGAATTGGGAAGGTGAGTGTTCTTGTTGAATATTGAGAGGTTTATGTTCTTTTTAGAAATTGATTATAAGTTTTTATAAGTTGATTCTGTATAAGTTTAGTCAGCATGATCATAAAATTTCTGAACTTGTGTGGTTTAGGACCTAACCCTTGATCTCTGCTGACTTCCAGGTAGCATTATATGAAAATTCTTGCCAGAGAAGTGGGGCAAGGGTTAGGTAGGAGTTTCCTGGGTGGTGTTTTGTTTCTTTGGTCTGCACTTCTACACCTTTGCTCAGCCACACTGAAATTATGTAGGGAACCTGAATGCATTTTGCTGTTTCCCTCCTTGGTAATTTTGCTCCCACTTCCCTCTAGTACTGTTCCTCTGCTTGAAACACTTCCCACTTCATCCTTCAGCCCTCAGATCTGTCCTGCAGGATCCTATCTGTGTCCAGCCAAGCTCTGTGAATCTTCCCTATTTATGGCAGCTGGCAGGCACTCATAGAAACCATCAAATTCAAGGCTCTGAAGGCCTTAGAGTTGGAGACATTTTCTCCTCATCTTCTAAGGATGGGGTCCTGATTGGGCGGTATCTCATCCAAGATTGTGTAATCAGGAGCAGAAGCCAGACTAGAATTTGGGGCTCTGTTCAGATGAGCAGACCTATCTCGGAGTGTGTGCTGGAGATACCAAGACAGGCTACGGGCGGTCTCAGTGCAGTCTTCCCCTGGTGGGTTCTCTGTCACTTTGTATCGTAGCTGCGCTCCGAGGTACTTCCTTGTGGTGTTTTGTGCGCATTTTATTTCTCCTGTTGGACTGTAAATCTCACAAAACAAAGATCAAGTTTTGTGCATCTTTACATTACAGGGGACTAGGGCTCAGAAGACTTACATGCTAGTCCTGGCCCTGCCGCTTGGTAGCAAGTTATGTAAATTTAAATTCTCACATCGTCACTTAACTTGTCTGCAAAATGGGGTTAGTAATGTTGGTTCTATTTGTGCTATGGGAGTATTGTGAGTGTAAAGTAAGAGAGTAAGTGTGAAAGTACCTTGAAAACTACAAAATTTACAAATGCAGTGTAAGTTTTATATGTAATAATGTTCTTTGTATTACCTGATTTCTTTTTTTCAGAAGCTATAAAAATAACACCTTGAAACACAATTCAGTCTATGAAGCTATGGTTCCCTTTTTTTCTCCATGTTTGCTCTTCATTTTGTCTACAGCATGGATCCTTCAGTCGCCTTCAGATATTTTAGAGTTGCATCCAAGAGTATTCTACTTTATGGTTGGAACAGCCTTTGCCAACATCACAGTAAGATCTTTTTTTCTTTTTTTTAATTAAAAAAAATTTTTTTAAAAGATTTTATTTATTTATTTGACAGAGATCACAAGTAGGCAGAGAGGCAGGCAGAGAGAGAGGAGGAAGCAGGCTCCCTGCCGAGCAGAAAGCCCAACGTGGAGCTCGATCCCAGGACCCTGGGATCATGACCTGAGCTGAAGGCAGAGGCTTAATCCACTGAGCCACCCAGGCACCCCAAGTTTTTTTTTTTTTTCTTTTAAAAGTCATAATATATCTAAGGAATATATGACAAAGCTTGATGATTTGAGAAATTTTATATAGTATTAAAAATAAGCAGATTTTAATTTAAAGATATTTTCTATTAGAAACTTGAAAGAATTAGAACCCTTAAGACAGAGCATGCTGAAAATGGTTTTTTCCTTTTCCAAGTGGCTGCAGATCTAATGATTAATTTAGGGAGCCTGAAAGGGGTTTTTGAGAGAAAACACACACACACACACACACACACACACACGCATTTTAAAATCAGCTGATCTTCAGATTGACAGGGAGTAAAAACTTTGTAATAAATACAATGTTTTTTAAAAGCCCTTTCTCTGCGATGGCCCAGCAAGACAGCAGACAGGTAGGAGAGATCGGGAGTTATTGAGAAGAGACCTTAACGGTTCTGACAACCAGGGAGCCTGTGCTCTAACTCTAAAAACTTAATACATTTTTACTTTATAAGGAATCCACTGAATTTGTTTCTGTGTCTGTAACATGTGTTCAGTATCACCAGTCCTATTGATTTCACAGGGTTTAAAGATCTGGAAATATTAATACATTATATGAAAGGTATCTCTTAAGGAATAGAACTTTGAGTAAGGTGTTGAAAGGAAAGGGAGCCAGAGAGGTCTTGAGGTGTTAATATGACAGTGCGATTGACTTGAAGAAGGCAGCATCTCAGCTCCATGAAGCAGTTCAGTTGTCTGGAACTATAAAAGGCTGTTTTGAAAATTCTTTTTTTCAGATATCGTACTTAAAATTGGGAGAAATTTCTTTTATCCAAACTGTTACCTACTGGCAGAATCCCTTCTCTAGCAACCTTACTAAATCATCTTCCCGACTCTTCTGACACACACTCTGAGGGTCCGTGGGTTTGGAGGTGTAGGTAGATGAGCAGTTGAGAACTACTGATTTTAATAATGTCGTGGAACTGTGTTGTCTCAAGTACTCGAATGCTTTTTAAATGTTGGAGTGACTAATTTTGGAAGTGCGTTGCTAATTAAATTTTCATTCATTTTTTTTTTCTCCTAACTTCAAGTGTCAGCTGATTGTTTGTCAAATGAGTAGCACCCGGTGCCCAGCTTTGAATTGGTTCCTGGTTCCTCTTTTCTTGGTTGTCCTGGTGGTAAACTTAGGAATAGCCTCTTACGTCGAGAGCATTCTCTTATATACTTTAACAGCTGTTTTCACTCTGGCCCACATCCATTATGGAGTACAAGTGGTGAGTAATCTAGAGCTGAATGGGTTCCATTTGGTTCTTATAAGTACTAGGAAAGGAGGTGAGGGGAAAATTTCAAAAGAAAGTTGCTTATTAAAGTAGCTGGAAGAATTTGGATATTCTCTATACATTTTGAATAATATCCAGGTGCATAATTTCAGATATCATTTCTCTGATGAATATGTCATAGTAACTTCAAATAATTTAAAGGCTGGATAATTATTATGAGGAATTAGTTGTTTTTAAGTAGAAATGTAAATTGTTTTCTTGGTGAATGGAATTGTAAACTCTCACGTGCTTTTATTTCTATGAGGACCAAATAATCCCATTTGTTGATGATTTATTTCTATACTTGCTTCATTAGCATTAGGGACATTTTTACCAGGGGGAAATATTAGGAGAGAATGGATTTAGGGAGGATTTTGCATACCTTAATATTCTCTTCTAAAGCAAGAGACTAGTTTCAGGGCAAATGGACTAAGATAGATAAAGTGAAAATGAGAATCATGCAAGTTTATTTTCTTTCCTCGCACTTTAACAGTCTTTTCTAATTATCTTACGTATTTTAGCATGGTCTTATAAATACGATTTTTAATTGTTGTACAATATTCCATCAAGGAGAGTACTTAATAATTACCCAGTGTGCTTAGTTATGATCCAGTTATTTTAACCATTTATGTTGTTTCCAACTTTTCACCTTTATAAATTAAAGTTAGAGTGAACAATCTGGAATATATTTTTCTTTGTTTTCTGATGGTAGTTTCATAGCAGTGAAAAATGTAAAAAGGTATTCATATTATTATTCATGTTTTTATGACTCTTAAAATGCTCCTATTTGGTATACTTGTCTTAAAAGGAACCCTGCTAGGACTCAGTTTGAGAAACAAAATGTTTTCTATACAGTTGAACATATTTTTAAAATGGGGGCACCTGTCATGCTTGGTAACTACTTTGTGCTGTGCATATGTTGCTAAACTTAGGTTTCTTCTCTTACGGTTCTCCCCAAAGTAGCCTACATTTGTTGGGATAAAATAGATGAAAAAAAAAAATCCATGATAACTAGGGATTATGACATGAAGACATAATTGTTTTTATTTGCACATATTAACATAAATGCTTCACTTTGTATTAACACTTTTATCTTCTATTTCATCAGTCATGTATGAAATAGAATGTAGTTGTAAATGTCTTTTATAATTGTGTTAATTTATTATAACTCCTCAAGCATATCTTTAGGCAACTGTACGTGAACCAAGCCAAAACATTTTTTTCTTTAAATTACAGAAGTAGTACATTTTCACTGTTAAAAACCTGGAAAATAAATACAAGTTATCGAAAAAAAAAAAAAAATTCCGGGAACATCTTTTTTGTCTGTCTTTGTGCCCTTGCCACTTCTGCAACTTCTAACCAGAAGGTGAAACAACAATACACAAAGCATTCACTTTTGAACTATTGACATATAAATAATAACAATAGAGCTAGGAAGTATCAAATAAATGATATTTGGTAACTGACACATAACCAGGGTCTTGCCTACCCACCAGGAATACCTTAACATGGCCTAAATCTCCTAAAATGTACAGATCTACTTTTATACAGTTTCTTCAGGATTAGGAATGATTACCTAGAAATGTTATAAGCAGTTGAATATTGAGTCAAACTGTGTATGTAAATATTTGATCTACTAGATCTTATAAGTCAGCTAACCCTATAATTTTTCAGCAGTATTGGGTGTGAATCTGTGTGGTCCAGAGGGCTCTGGAAAGACTAGATGTTGGAGTTAGGGTTAAGTCCTAATCCTCCCAGGGGTAGTTCTGGAATTCTACAGAATTCTGTAGCCTTCTAGCTCTATAGCTATTCTAGAAAAGCCTTTTCTTTACTTCTGCTGAGTTTTGCCACATCAGTAAATTGTTATCTCCAGAGGGTGAATTCTGTGTCCTTTGAAAAAATTATTAGGGATGTATTTGTCACTACCTCATGTTCTGGTTTTCCGCAGGTAAAGCAGCTGAGCAGCCATTTTCAGATTTATCCTTTCTCATTGAGGAAACCAAACTCAGATTGACTAGGAATGGAAGAAAAGAACATTGGCCTGTAATCTACAGAAAAAAGTACTGTAAATAAGATGCTTGTAAATATTTCATCCATCACCATTGAACTAAAATGACCTGCTTAACAGACCTGGGAACTCAAGTTTGTAGAGTACTTGGACAGCAGGAGGGATACAAATGATCTGAACTTATGGAATTTTGGATCTGCTAACTCCCAACGTATTTTATTTTTTATAAAACCATGTGGCATTTTGGTTAAGCATTATGTACTTTAGACAAGCAAAATGTTTCTAGTGATTTTAGCTTCATGAATCTATGGTATTTTGGTTCATACAGAGTTAAGGATGCTTTGTTTTTATTTTTAAAGTCCCCAAATTGGTTTAGGAACACTGATAACGTTAAGAAAATGGCAAAATGTTTTCATATTTGGTACTACTTTAGTAGTAGATCTTTAGAGGTGGAAGTTATCAATAGCCCAAATCTAAAACAGGGAAAAGGTAAGAGCAAGTCACCTTTAGCAAGAGATGCCAAATGATCACAGAACTATGATGTACAGTTGCCAAATACTGGTTTCTCTTTCCCATGGAAATGCCTTTTTTCCTCATGCGCTGAGAGAGCTGGTATATATATATTTAGATTCTCTAGTATTCTGGCTCTCTTTGTTTGGGAGAGATCTTGATAAATGACTTAATTTTCTTTTAAAGAAAAATGTTCAGTTGACTTAGCAGAGAGTAGATCATAATTGTAGCTTACCCATTGACATGGTTCATCGTTTAAATGTGGCATTTCCCCCCTCAGCTGCAAGTTGCTGAGACTGGGTACCCGAGAACTATGTTTATATGAATGCATGTGACAGCCCCAGTCTTACGATAATTACTTGTAGGGAACGCAGGTAAACTTCCTTATAAGAGAAATTTACTTTGGACTTAGAAATCTCATGAGCCTCACTATGAATTCCTGCTATGAACCGCACTACAAAATTAGTTTTCTGATTCAGTTTGCCCTGCCTTCCTTCCTACCCTCTTCCTTCTGTCCGTCCATCTCTTTTTTACGGAGGTGAGAGTGCTGTGTTTTTTATTTCATAAGGGTAAAGAAGTAGAAATTCTTCCCTTCCTGACTTGCCCGCTTCCCCGTTTGAAGAAAGTTTTTGATATATATGCCTTACTGAGTACCTACTGTCTTTAATGTGACTTGGAATAATTTTTGAGGTTTACTGACAAACATAAAAATCCCTTTGACTTAACTGTGGTTGATCTGTAGATTACACCTTTTCATGAATGTGGATATATTATTTCTTTTTGACTCTGTCTCCATTTAGTTTGGTGGTGGTGAAATTTACTTGCTGATTTTCTTTTATTTTCCACCGAATGAAGTTTGTGCTTGAATGAAGAGTGTATCTTAAACCCTTTTTTTTTTTGGATGGATTGCACTTGGATAAAATAGGCACCACTGTGTTGATATGTAATTAAATTCTTAGCCATTATTTATCTATGAATGTGACCATTGTTAAATTTAATTATAGTGTATTCCTTTTTGAATTTCAGTCTGCTGCTTTGTAAAAATAACTATGTAATCGATATTTCAGCTTTTAAATTTGTAAATCCTAATCATTGTCATCCAGGCTATTAGAAATGAGGAGTCAAGGAGCTAACTTACGGTTCTGTACTCATTTTTAAAAATGGTTCATAAAGATTGAGATATATTCGGTGACTTTTTCTGAGACTGAACATGATGAGAAATGGATGCTGGAAAATGTGGATAGTGATTCTATGTTAATAAATCGCCATCATGGAGGTCAGAGAATGAACAAATTAAGTAACGGTAACTCTTTTTTGTAGACCTTGTTTTTTGTCATCTATAAAATTGAATAGGATTAAGTGGTAATTTGGGCTGGGAACAAAGCTTTGTTCTAAGGTTTCTGATCTAATCATTTTACCTTTTGTTGATCTTGTACACAAGAATGAGATTAATCTGTATTATATAAGAAGAGAATTGAGAAATGTTTGTAAATGACAAATTTGGACCACAGGCTTTCTTCACCTTGTACAGTATAGTTAAAAAAAAAAAAAAAAAAAACCCTCTGGTGTAGGGTCATGTTCTATACTTTTGGGGCTATTTTACCTCAGAGTGTCTTTCTGTTCTTTTTCCATTACATCAAGTTTATTTGAAATGGTTTTGTGCGTGTACTTCATGACCTGTTTCTCCGTAGGGGTAAAGAATTGCGCCACAGTTTTATTGACACCATTAGATGAAAGGTGGCTGTCAACAAGATGAAAGTGAAACTGAGTGAAGTACTGTTTGAGAATACCATGGACTTGTAACTCAGTGGACTGCTAACTTTTTCTTGGTTTAGTCTGCCATCTTGAACTTACCTCGAAAGTCCCCATTTGTTGTTTAGTGATATAGCAGCTGAAGCAGGACTTAACTTGCAAATAGCTCTGTGCATTTGTGTCATACCAATTATCATAACATTTCCAAAGTATAAAAGATATTTCAGGCTTATGCATGATATTTTGGGGTGAGTCTTCCACCCCAGCCTTTCTCCAGCATACACTGAGCTGCCTTTGGGGAGCAATGGCATGGTTGGTCATACATGCATGTTTTCTGTACATTTCAGAATGGAGTGCCTTAGCCAGGCCAGATGTTTGCTTTGTGTTTCTGCTGACCAAAGTTACCTAGACCTGTGAGAAGTTACTTGTCAGGTTATGGTATGAAAAATGTCCTTTCCTGCTTGTCAGAAATTAATTCCCCTATATTTGAGGGGAGCATGGGATAGAAAAATCCTTAAAATGCCTGGATAGAGTATGTTGTTGCTGCCTTTTCTGATCCCTTACTAACATTCATGATCTTTAGTGCATTACACAGTTTAAGATCCTCACAGTTGACACTGCCATTCTTCCATTTATACATAATAGATGTAGTTCATGAGTTTTAGTTTCAAGTAATGGAGTGAATAACTTCAAAATAAAAAACTAAATAGTCCTTGGCCTTTTAATAATATCATGCTTAAAATATTTTAAATTCTAATTTTAAAAAGCTCCATGCTGATTATGGTCTAGAATGTTCTACTACTACCAACATGTCATTTATTTTAATATAGAGGTATGGGGAAGAGGAGTGTATGTCTAGAGTTGCCCAAATTCTAAACAGGTACTGAGAAAGCATTAATCATGACCTGGAGTCAGCTTTGGGGGAATATGGAAAAGAAAAATCAGGCATAGGGTCCACCTGAAGGAGAGAAAGGATCACCTTAATGCCCAGTGCCTATAGTGCTCAATGGTCCTAATGCAGTGCAGAGTTTAAAATTGTCACAATTTAAATCGTCGTTCCGCCACTAACTTCAAATTCATATGTGAATTTGAAAGGTTCCCAAGTGTTCAGTTTTCAAAGAATTTATTTTGTAGTCAGTCAAAAAACATTTGGAGTGTACCTTGCTTTCCGAAGTAGACTTTGCTTCTATAACCTGTGGAAAATAAAAAGATAAACTGAAGGTGTTTGAATCAGAGGGTCCCTTTCCCCTTTATATTTTAACTAGAAGCCCATGTGTAACTCTTCTTTTCATTTTTCAGCCAGTCTCGCTTTTGACTTGCTACCTCCTTGGACAGACGCCCACTTGCTTTGAGCACCTAGGTCTTGCCACATTCCAAATCTCCTGGATTGCCTTAGATCTCTTGACATGTCAAGGACTGGGAACATGCCAGAGGGAACAGAGTAAACCCAATAGGCTAGAACTTTTGACTTTGGGTCCCCCAAAAAGCCAAAAACAAATACAGAAATCTTTGGTTGTGTTGAGTCCTGTGTTCAGAGTGGCTTTTATCTTGACCTCAGTTCTGGTCTTAATTGAGCACTCTATAGGAGATTTCTGGTCAGATGAGAATTTTCTTTGTCCTGTGAGGTGTCTTTGTAAGAGCATGCCCTTTCTTGAGCACCCTATGGGTGAATTACCTTCCTAAGTTAGCTGCCAGTACTAGAACCTTCCAGAAGGAATTTTAATTAGTATGCTGCATTTGAAGCACTTTGACATGTATATTTTAAGTGAGTTTTAACAGTAAAACGGTGTTAAACTAATCACTGTGAAACTTGAAAGTGTGATGCTCTGTACATCTTAGGAAGCTTAAGTAGATTTCTGATTTTTCCTTTATTAATTAGGTAACCCATGTGATTTGCATATTTTACTTTTCATCTTTGACAGTGGCACAGATGACTGACATATTGGTAGGCAGTTACATTAGGGTATATGGTAAATCATGGTTGTGTAGCTTTTCCAGAGAAAGTGGCAACATGTTCCTTGTGTGGAACCCTGGGAGTGGGATTTATTGGCTAATTCACTGCAGTGTTTCTACAGTGCAAAATAAATGTAACCTTACTTTTTAATCCACTTGCTAATAATATGCTTCGCTCTTTAATAAACAAGTGTGCAAGAGATAGTAATCTAGCTGGGTTTTTGTTTGTTTTGTTTTGTTTTTAGGCAGGGACCTGCTCTTTAGACAGAGATCTTAAATGAGCTTATATTTAGGGAAGCAAAAGATGTTCTGTCATTTGTAGCCCTCTCAGAGGTGGCCTGAGTGAGGGAGTGGTGTTTCATTTTGTCAGAAAGGCCAGGTTCCCAGAATTGGAAAGTAGTACATGGACTGATTTTAGAATATTTCAACAAGGCCTTATCTCTGTAGGAAAGTCTATTTGGACCTAACAGAAGGTTTGTCTGGTCTTCTGTAGACCCATTCATGTTGTTTTACTCTTCACAGAATCATTTTTAGAAAGGTAGGCTAAATCAGAGTGGTGCTGTTTTTAAACCTTGTGAATTGGATCATGGCCATATAGTACCTAATGCGACATGGAACTTAGAGACAGTATTAAAGATGCCAGGTGTGGGGGATCCTGGCTGGCTCAGTTGGTAGAGCGTGCGACTCTTATTCTCAGGGTTGTGTGTTCGAACCCCATGTTCGGTGTTGAGATTACTTAAAAGAATCTTAAAAACAAAACCAAACAACCAGGAATGGCTAAATGCGAGGATGCCTTATGGTTCTTTGGCTAAAGTCTTCTCTTGACCAGTTTCTGTGGATAATGATTAAGATTAGAATTGATTTAGTTTTTTTATTAAAACACACACAATTTGCCATGAGTCTGATATTCTTGACAAGCACGTTTTTATCTCTAAAGTAAGTTCTTCACCTTGCTTGGGACCTGCTTAGTATGTGATGTTATTAACCCGTTTATGGGAGGAGTTTTCATTTTGCAAGATCTGTGGATGTTGCGTTTTAAATCTGTTTGAATTACTGGTATCATTCAGCAGCAGACTCTTAACAACTGCTAATTAAAACTGCCCACAATATTAACACTGTAGGTTATTTTGTTTCGCTAACTTACTCTATTAGCTTTCAAGAGACAAAGTCCCAGTGACATGTAATGACTTGCTCGTTCCAAAATGTGCCAAGAGAGCGGACTTCAGTATTAAACTCCAAATTTCAATTGTTTTTAAAAAAAAAAAAAAAGCATCTCTGGGTAATGGGGAGGCGGTGAATTACTGCCCAGATGCAAACTCCCTACCGCCTACCTTGTCCCCTTACCCTCCCATCCAACATATAATAGATTAAATTTGCAGGAATTTAACTGTAGGAAGAGAAGTTGGTACTTTTCTGAGTAAGGCTTCATGCCCTGTGACTAAGAAGAGGTGGCGGGAATCACGGCCGAATCATTGACTCAGCTGTGTCGCTTGAGCCATCGCAGTTCGCTTTGGGTAGCATTCTGAAATGAAAGGATGACTCCTTCCCTTCTCAGGTACCTAGAAACAACACCACTTAAGCAGCCGGCATGTGTTAGCGACAAGTAGAGTATATTAGAGTGGAAGATAAAGGGGAGCACAAAGTCTTTTGTTTCCTCTTTCAAGTCGTTCCATGAGCTTTTTCATCATCGGTCTGTCCAGAACTTGCTGTGTTCATCGTAAATAACATAGCATTTATTTTACCTGGTTATGGTTATGGTGTGGCGTGTGTATGTACATATTTAATATGGACACATATTTCTGCATTATATGTATGATCCGTTCCTTTACCCGTCAGTCCGTTCTTGATTATCTGCAACATGGTGAGCCCTCCTTAGAGTGTTCTCTTCTTGTGGACCTAGCTTGTAGCCCGTAACTCTGTGAAGCCTCTTCCCGCTCCGGAGCCACAGTCTCTCCTACTTGCAGTTCCTCTTCATCCCCAAGGAAGGGCCTTGAAATATGTCACTTTCTGTTTCCCTTTCACCAGGGATTGCGAATGAGAAAGATCACTGCTTCCACCGGGTTTGAGGCTTCTGGCTCTGAAGGATGATGCAGCCCTGGCCCAGAGGCAGGTTGGGAGCAGTTGTGCTCAGGGGCTCGATGAGGGGAAAAAAATCCAGCCCTTGCCGAACCGGGGCTTCATAACTTGCTTAAATTCCTGAGCTCCAGTGTTGCGAGGTCTTAGGTAATTTGACGCACAAGTAGATGACAGCTGTGCGTTTTCACCGTCACTTTCGCATCGTTGGTGTTACTGCTCCCCGTTGCGAGCCCAGATAATCAAGACCCGACCGTTTCTTGCCACTGGATTCTGGAAGCCTTGCCCTTTCAACTGGATTTGTGTTCGTTTCTGCTGCTGTGAACCCCAAAAGTAATGCAGTAGGTTTTAATTTAAAATTGTTTAATTCTATTGTTGATAAATATTTATTGTAATAAAAGTAAAGAGTAAATAATTTTTAAATCCTTTTAACTGTTTTCAGATTGTCTTCTTTGTTTGTTCTTGGTAGGTGCAAGAGGGGAGGGAGGGGAGAAAAATAATGTCCAGCCACTTGCTTAAGAGTTACTGATTATTTTAAAACAAAACATTAAATGTTTTTTTCTTTTGTTTGTTTAAAGAAAGATCAGCCCAGGGGTGCCTGGATGGCTTAGTTAAGCATCTGTCTTTGACTAAGGTCATGATCCCAGGGTCCTGGGATCTAGCCCTACCATGGGTCTCCCTGCTCTGGGGGAACCTACTTCTCCGCCCCTCCTCCCACTCATTCTCTCTCTCTCTCTCTCAAATAAATAAAATCTTAAAATAAAAAAAAATAAC